GAACGGCGATGTGTTCCTCTTTGCCCTCATCGATGGCTTCAATCTGTGATGAATCATCGAGAATCAGGGTGGGGGAGGGGCTGTGAAGAACGGCGACGAGTGAGGGTGGGGGAGGGAAGGAGACGAGCTGGAGAAGATGGAGACGATGACTGCAGCGACGACTTGGGGTGAAGGAGACGCATCTGGTAAAGGGAGCAGGTAAAGGGTAAAGTGGGAAGAATTGTCATCTGAATGGTTGAGTGAGATAGTAGATGCAAAATGGTTAAGAGCCTTATGTAACCATTAAGAAGCTCTTTTTTTTTGCCAAACAGCCCAAACCTCTGACCGATTAAGAGGTTCCCTCTTAATGTCACCATTAAGAGGGAAACAAACAGCCCCTCCATGTCTTTTGTGTGTCCAATTGGTAACTTTCTAAACTAAAATTGACGAGAAAACTTTCGGTCTCGAGGGAAAAACAATAACTACGTTTATTAGGAAAAAGTATATTACAAGAGAAAAGTTTTAAAGTGTATAAACTAATGCATTCTATGTCAAGGTTGAATATAAATGTCAAAAGTGGATTTCAACTCTCAAATGGTGTTTCTAACACACTTGGTCCATCACATGAAAGTTGCAAGATTTGACTTGTTACTAATTTAAAATTATTACAATCAATTTATTTGTAACAATGAAAATGGGCAAATAAGTAATTCTTATATGAAACTTCCCTAAAATAGAAATGGTGATCGTTAAAGCACTACCTGAAACAAAGAATGTGACACCTTTTATTGGACAGGAGCACTAAAACCGAGTTTTGTAGCCATTTTCAGTGCGGATAAAGTTATTTACTCAAGATATAGCAACAATTAAGACAACAAAAACAAGATAAACCTTGAGGGCCAGCTCAACTGCCAAATAAAAGCTAGGCCTTGAGGGCTGGGGCTCCTCCCCATAGGTATTCGGTTTAAGACTCCTCAGGGCCACTGGCCACTGGGAATCTTCCTGGCCATTATCTTCAAGGACCCATGAGATTAGTCGTCGAGACCGGAAGCTGGTCAGGACACCGACATCTACAAAACAATAAATAAAAACTAAGATGGAAGCATACCAATGACAAAACCATTATATTCCATAACTGTGTCATCTGGTCTAGCGTTTTCCTTGCTCTCGAACTCCATGGTGTAGGACATGCCCGAGCATCCACCCTGTTTAACGCCAATTCTCAAGCATAAATCTTCGCTCCGCTCAGACCTCATCTTATTCAAATGCTCCAATGCATTATCTGTCAATGCAATGGCAGGTGCAAGTCCTCCAGATGCAGGTGCAGCTACAGGATGCAAGTCAAATTAATTGAAAAAAAGCATTAAATTCGTCATCCATGTCGATTATAATGTATGCCATTAATCCACATTAATGCTAGAAGCTTATTTATTAATTAAACAGGAAATTAATGAACTAAGATATGGAAATGTAGATTTAAAGACAAGAGTGTGCTATAAGTAACGGTATATAAAGTTTTTATAGAAGATTCTTTGAAAGAATAATGTTGTGTTCTCAAATTTGGGGAGAAAAGAAAAGGAAAGGAAAATAATTTTTTATGTGTGTTCTCGAAAGGAAAGAAAATGGAAGGAAAGGAAGAGAAAGAGAATAGGTTTTCATGTTCTTGAACATGAGAGAAAAGAAAGGAAAGATGTCATGTTTACAAATATACCTTTTAAAAATATGTCCTTTACAATGAAAGGTCCGGTAGTTTTGTAATTTCTCATAACCTTTTTAAAGGGTTTTAATTTTTTTCCTTTCCTTCTGTTTCGTTTCTTGGTCACGACCAGCTAAAGCTAAAGTTCCTTTAAAGAGCGTTTCCACAGGGTAGAACCTCCTCAGGGAATATAAGGTTTTCATGAGGCTGATCTTCAGCCGCCATCCAAGCATGAATACCTTCGTTTAAGAGAATATTTTTGATGTAGAAAGTCTCAAATTCAGGATCTTCCGCCGTGCGAATTTCCTGAGAAACGAAGTCATAGGCACGTAGGTTCAAGGCCAGACCGACTACCGAAGGAAAGTTTTGGAAGGAAGCTTATCATTATTTTCCTTCCATTTCCTTTCCTTTCTCTCCTATAAAGTTTCAAGAACACGAGTTTTTTTACTTTCCTCCCCTTTCCCTCCCTTGCCTTCCCTTTCCTTCGTAATTTTTTTTCGGGAAGACAGTGTAAGAGAAGACATATTTTTGATATTATTCATTTATTCCAAATGTTCTAGGGATCTCGTGGCAATTTAATATTTTCAACTATAAAGTGTCTTGCATTCAACATTAAACATGAATATCTGCATCAATAAGTGAGGAAGAGATAAAGCTGAGTTTATACTTTATATACTATTAAGTCTTAAAAAAAACACAGAAGTTCAGAAAATAAAAATACAACAATAAGTTAAAGCAACAGGGAGAAAGGAAGTAAGGTCGAAATTTAAAAAGTGGTATATTATGCTAAAGTAACCTGCAGTATTTCTCGGGGTAGAGATCAGGTTTACAGACACCTTCTCCACCCACCCCCACCTCCAGGTGGGACAAACTGGGCTCGTTTGGTTGGATTGGTTTATTGTTTATCCCCTTCCACCCAAAAATATTGTAAAAATGAGAACATATTGAAACTCGAGCACGAAAAACACAGCCTTGTGAAAACAATATGAAACTCATGCACGAATAACATTTCCAAGCTGACAAGAGCTCGAATATTCTACTCCGCCGTACGGATCTACAGCTTCAAAAGTAGACTAGCAACTAAAGAAGAATCATCTTCAGTAGGTGATTCCTTGATGACTGAAGTTAAGAATTTGCTTAGTTTCCATTTGTTCATACCATGTTCCATGTCTCCTCATATCATGTAAATGAGACCCACAATTGTATCTTGATTTCTCGTCAACAAATAAATGGGACACACAATCGTGTCTTAATATCCTCAAGTATAAATACTTATGTTTATGTCATTAGAATCATTTGTGATGAATAAAGAGAGATGGGTGATTCGACATAAATCCCCTCAACTTGCTAAATAAACCCCCTACACTTCCCACACATCAACCTCTCTCTTTTTATATTTACAGCACATGAATTAACCTGATGTGACCCTAAAATGAGTTTTATTTAGCATCATCTAGTCCTGACATACGGGTGTCTAATCCTTGTGGGCTAACAGAAAATTACCATCTCCAAATTACTAGCAAAGATTCCAAGAGTTTATTGAATTCATATGCTTGTCAAATTTATGTTATGTGGGACTGCTGAGCTCAGAGGTTAGAGCATCACATATATCAAGGGGTTGTGGAAGGTTTTCATCCTATTGTTCCGAAAGGAATGGCTTGTAAAATGAATATCTCTTAAATGGAGCAGAACCAGGAAATTTTCAAAATAGGGGAAAGTCGTACTCCTCCCTCAATTACAAACCCTAAACCCCCAAAAGAAGATAAAAAACAGAACCCGAATAATTTGAAATTTGTGCAAATATAACCTAACAAAATACTTTCGAACCCTTGTTACCACTTTAAGCAACATGATCACAATCAAGGCAATATAATGATCGATAGACGATGTGAACATACCCAATCTGTATAAGAGAACATGTAACGAAACATCAGAGAAGATCAATACCTTGTGTTGAAATCGAGCGAATGAAGAAATTTTTTCTACGAAGATTTAGATTAAGACGAGAAGGCAAAGATCGAGTGGAAAGCGAAGCGGGTGGAACAAATGTTGAAGAAGAGCTCGACGTATTAGGCAGACGGTAAAGAGAGAAGGAACGTACCGTCGAAGAAAACGCCATTGAAGCCATGAAAGTGGTCGAAAAGAAGTGACTTTTGGATGTGAATTTAACATGTTCGACTTCTACATGCACCACAATTAACATTTTTTTGACATTAAAATAAAATAAGATATGCTATTTAAATCTAAAATATTTAAATTTAATATAAATTTAAATTACATGAACTATTTTTTTCTCAAACTAAACTACTGTTCCTAGTTTTAGGCTTAAACTTTAGATTTAGGTAGGGGTGTTGTAACAACTCTGCACTTTTGGATTTCCAGGTTAGGACCTCATTTCGGAATCTTCATTAGAAAACTAAGTCTTTTAGAATTAACCTTATTCAGAGTATGATCTTGAAGAGATCGCCTATTCGATCAGAGGCTCTGGCGTTAGCCACAGAGGCTCTGATGATAGCCACAGAGGCTCTGATGATAGCTACAGAGGCTCTGRCACTATCTACAGAGGCTCTGTTTCCTCTTCTCAGAGACTCTGTGTCCTTTCACAGAGACTCCGGCAACTCTTCTCAAAGACTTTGTATCTTTTTACAGAGACTCTGTATCTCTTCACAGAGGCTCTGGCATCTCTTTGCAGAAACTCTGTGTCTCTTCACAGAGGCTCTAGCATCTCTTTGCAGAAGCTCTGAGTCTCTTCACAGAGGCTCTGGCATCTCTTTGCAGAAACTATGTGTCTCTCCACAGAGGCTCTGGCATCTCTTTGCAGAAGCTCTGAGTCTCTTCACAGAAGCTCTGGCGTCTTTTCTTCGCAGAGGCTCTGTTGTCTTCTTTCTGAGGCGCTGGTT